CTGTGTCCAAGAATAATCGAGATATTTATCAATAATTCTCTCTATAGGATTTGAACTTCCTGATTGGACCCAAACTTTATGAGGCCAACTGGATGGAACTTCAGAACAATGGATTTATTGCACGAGTCCAGTGTGCGGAGGTATCTGTTCTACCTACTTCTATGCTTCTTCGTGTGAATTTACTTAGGTCTTTTATTGGGGGCGAGGCTGGCGCAGAGGTAAAAACGCTTGCCTTCCATCCGCTGTGGCCTAGGTTCCATTCCTGGACCTGGCTTCACATGTGGTTTGAGTTTGTGGCTGGTTCTCATCCTTGCTCCGAGAGTTTTTTTTCCGGGTCCTTCGGTTTCCCTCCCGTCGCGAAAACTAACATTCCAAATTCCAATTCGACCTGGAAATAATGGACAAGAAGAGCCACCTCGTGAAATATCCACTGCTTAATTCCCATTATTATTAAGTTATTATTATTATTATTATTATTATTATTATTATTATTATCATTTTTATTAGAAATATTTCTTTTATCAGGTATGGTGCCCTATGACACCCGAGTTTTACAGAGAGTACCTCAATATAAGGACAAGAAAGAGGAAGGTATGACAGCAAGAAAAAAGTTGTGCTGAATTGAATGAATTGTATCGTTTTCCAAAGGTCTTAAGGATGTACTTATTTCTGAAGCCATCGCGTTCAAAAGTATGCCCGGTAAAGTGGTAGGTGACTGTTCCCGAAAGCCGCTTCGATTTGAAAGTTTTCCAATCTTGCTGACAGGTTCACGGTTTCTTTTTTTGCGAAAGTTGAATGGAGAGATCCTCTTCTTACTGTTGATTGATTAATATCCCGGTTGCTTGGTTAATGTGGTTTACTTCGTGTAGAGTTGGGCTTAGTACGCATATTCTCCATACTGTTTTCTATACATTTCCTGTGGTGCTACAAGGAGAATTTGTAGAACAATCAAGAGCTTCTTAAGCTAGTGATCATTTCCTTTATTTTCGTGAGCTAAATGTTTGATTCAGGGCTGATGTTGTATGGAGAAATTAGATGCTGATCACTCTCAGAGGTTAAAGGGTTAACTTAACCGTCTTTGTTTCAGTTACTGTATGTGATGAATCCGAACAAGTTCCGGTCTTGCGAGGTAAGATAAGATTGTGGGGATAAATACACTATAAAAACCAACTTTCTTTCGCCGCTTTTCATGTAGGTGAAAATGAAAATTATATCAAGCTTCTCAAGCCTGAGATGGTAAGGTGAACGAAGAAACTTCGTAGTCGCTTCTTGGGGAAGAATATTCACCCAGAAGGCGAGAAAAATTTATCTCTGTCTCCTTGTGTTGCCAAGGTAAAAAAATTATATTCTAAAACGCTTTTACCAAATCCCTCTTTACTTTTATCCTTTCGATTTCAAAACTTTTTCCTTTATTCTTTTTCCTTGCGCAGTTTCTGATTCGTTTTCACGAAAGGTGAGCATAAGATTTCTAGTGTTGAAGTTAAATGAATATTTTTTTTTATGCAAAGAATTGATGTCATTTTATGCAAAGAATAGTTCGCCTGAATTATAGTTTTTTACGTTTTTGGTGATGAATTTTTTTACTTATTTCTCTTAGACGAAATGATAAAGTTATTGTTTTCTCCGACAACGTGTTCGCGCTCAAAAAATACGCCGAGAAGCTTAAAAAGTGAGTATTATAATGACACATGAGTACATTTTACCTTTCTGGCGCTCTTGAGGGGAGCAGAACGAGAGGAGCGATAGACTAGGCTAGACGGGCAGATAGCTAGGCTGGCAGGCAGACAGACAGAATTTCTACAGGCAGGGGCCAAGGCAATACAAAATTGAACGAGGTCTTAAGTTTCTGAAGAAGCCGTGTTGCTGCGTGGGCGGGAAACTGTAATAATTGGTCGGTTGTCTCTGAACTATCAGTCGATACAATAGGTAATCGACCGTAATGATTATTGAGGAAAAAAATGACGTTAAAAAAGTTAGATTTTCGCGTCAGAGCAAGTCGGAAGTAGGGTGAACCCTCGAAACGTCAGCTTTTCAAAATTTCGCTACAGCATTTAACAAAGACAACATACATTTATTAGCTTGTGGTACCTTGTTGTGATCTTCTTTCTCTTTCTTCAGACCGTTTATTTATGGACCAACTCACCAAGGAGAACGGATGCAAATCCTGCAGAACTTTCAACATAATCCTTTGGTTAACACAATTTTTATATCTAAGGTAAGAAGAATTTTATTTTCCGATTTTTTAAGAAGCAAAATTTGGAAATGTCTTTTTCTCCCAGTCCCTGAGAGTTGAAAATGTAATGTGAGAAAGAAACCTTTGGGATCCGCCAACAAACAGATTTGTCATTTTGGCCAAATTTACCAGTGTATCAATCCTCTCTGCCATTTTTGCTATATTCGCCAGTAAACAGATGGGACATGACTTCTTCAGTTATTTTTGGCATTTTTGTTAAATTTCTTACATTCGCTAAGGTTTCCTTGCCAAAATTGCCATATTTTCCATTAGTGATCCTTCACCAAAGTCCTTGGCACACTTTCGCCAAAATCGCCATTTTCGTTGCAACTTTCATTTCTGGACATAAGTGAGGTTTTTAAATATTAGAGATGAATAGCACTGGATTTTAAATCGTCTTTTATTACTTTCTAGGTTGGAGATAACTCCTTCGATCTCCCAGAGGCAAATGTGTTAATTCAGGTAGGCTTAACTTCAGGATTGTTGTCGAACACTAGCAACTTCAATCTAGCCTAGAAATCTACTTCTCAAGATCCATGGCATTTAAGAATGTGTTCCTTTTTTCTTTCCAGATTTCCTCGCACGGTGGCTCAAGGAGACAGGTTAGGCACCAGTCCTTATTCATCACCTGGGGCCTGGGAGCGGGAGGGGGG